GGACCTCTTCGCGTCGGCGTGGTCGCGGCGTCTTCCCGTTTATGCGGCGCCCTTCCCCGATTGCGAGGCCGTCGGGGTCGATGCCTTTCGGCTCGACTGGTCGAGGTGGGGGTTCCTGTACCTCTTTCCCCCAGTTCGGCTGTTGCTCCAGGTCCTGACTCGCTTAGAGACTTACCAGGGGAGAGTTGTCCTTCTGGCCCCTTGGTGGCCGGCCCAGCCTTGGTTTCAGGCGCTGGTTGCTCGGTGTCCGAACCCGAGGGTTTTCCCGCGGCTCCGCCTCTTTCAGCAGATCGGGCCGGTACGTCACGTAGCTGGTTCGATCTTCTCCTCGAGTCTTCGCGTATGGTTTTTTTGACTCGAGTCTATCATCATCTCTATGGTGATCAGGTGGCCTCCTTGTTGGTGTCCCACCTGAGGGCTTCTTCTCGGCGGCAGTATGAAGTTTCCTGGCGGTCCTTCCGTTTCTTTTTGCGTCTTCGTCGTGTTAGCTCCTTGTCTGTTCGGGTGGTCTTGTCCTTCCTCTCGTGGTTGTTTCAGGACCGTCATCTTATGCCTAACACTGTCGCTTCGTATCGTGCGGCGCTGGCGGAGCCGCTTCAGCTTGCTTTCGGTATCGATGTTACGTCTGCGCCGTTTCGCAAGCTGTCTCGTGCATTGTTTCACCTCCGGCCTGCTCATGCGTCGCCTGAGCCGTCCTGGTCTTTGGACAGAGTGCTCGCTTTCCTTTCATCTCCTCGTTTCGTTGTGGCCCCTTCGGTCCAGGATTGTTTTTCCAAGGCACTTTTCTTGTTGGCTTTGGCCTCTGGGGGTCGGGTAGGGGAGCTTCATGCTCTCCTCCGGCGCAGGGGTTTCTGCTCTTTTGGTCGTGGTGATAGTTTTGTTCGTTTGCAGCCGTCTCCTTCTTTTCTGGCGAAGAATGAGACTGCTGCGTTCCGGAGGGGTCCATGGGTGGTTGATGCTTGGTTGGTCAGGCCGGGGGTGCATCATGTTTTGTGTCCGGTTGCGGCGCTTCGCCGTTATTTGCGCGCCACAGCTTCTGTGTCTGGGGACGCGCTGTGGGTTGATCCGGTTTCCCTTCTTCCCTGTTCGCGGGTTCGGGTCTCTCAGGTCGTCCGCAGGGTTATTAGGTCTAGCCAGCCTGCGGTCTATCCCCGTGCCCATGACGTTCGTAAGTTCGCGGCTCTTGCTGCCGTCTTTGGGAATATGTCTTGGTCTGGTATTCGGGCGCGGGGATTTTGGCGGTCGAACAGGGTCCTGGCTGCTCGTTACCTTGTGAATGTCCCTGGCCCTCGTCGGGCCTGTGTTGCTTTGGGTCGGCGGTTGCAGCCAGTTGTCTCGGCTTCGAGTTGAGGGGTGAGCGACGACCGCCTCCCGGGTAAGTCCCTCTTTTTCTGTCTGTGGGTAGTTAGCTCCGGGGAGCCGACGGGGCTCCCCCCAGAAAACCAGCGTTGAATGTCATGAAACGCCATTTTCTGGGTGAGTCCCGGAGGCTCCCCGGCATCCCTCCCTCCCTCCGGTCGGCGGTTTTTCGCGTTTTTGACATCCAGCCTCAAGAACTGAGGTGTGGGTAGCCGGCGCGGGGGGTCTGGGGCTCCCCCTTCCCCCTCCCGGGGAGGGGGGAGCTGCGCAGACAGCGGCGCGGCAGTGTGTGACGTCACACTAATTTGCTTGTTTTCGGTTGGGGAGTTCTATCCACTAGTTCGGTATTAGGTAGCAATTTTACCAGAATAGGGGTTTGTTTTGGGGCGCTTACCTTTCTGGGTGCCTGTTCCGGTCGATGGCAGACATAGAATGCTTCCAACTACACGGGGGCTTCTATAGGCCATTGCTCCCCTTGCCTCTCTGAGGGGGCCCGGTTCTGGCCGTGGTCCCCGGTAGGCCTAAGAACTCCATACACATGACTGATGCCAAAGTCTGACATTAGCATATCAGCCTGGGATAGCTCCGGGGAGCCTCCGGGACTCACCCAGAAAATGGCGTTTCATTACATTCAACGCTGGTTTTTTGGGAGTGTGGAACGGATTAATTTAATTTACATTATTTCTTCTAATTCGCTTCAGTTTACGAATTTTTGGGTTGCGAACCGTCTCTGCGAACAGATTAAATTCGTAAGCTGAGGTACCACCTCGAGATAATCATCTCAAGATAACCACTGTGTATGAAAGATGAGACATAGTCAATAAGTATGTTTTCAATCTTTAGTTTATAATGGCTGACTTTCTCAATTGCCAGTTTGTCTGTTGAACACCTTAGTTTTTCAGTAATGATTACCAGATCAAAGCTTTACAAGTTGTGCGTATGAAATTTAAGTGAGTTAGCATCTCACAGTGAGTTTTGTGTGTACAAGTACAGTATATCATGTGCATAGCTAGTAATAATGTTTTGGAAAAGTAGGGATGGATTTCAGCCAGGCATTTATTTGTACATTAATCAAGATGAGACTTCAGTCTCCCTCTTGAGGGGTGCCTACTGGAGTCAATTTGGCTTCACTTCTGTTGCCTTGAAAAGTTCAGTTAGTAATATAAACGTGTATCCATTGTAACAATGTGCCACCTATTTTCATTTTATATAGTTCATACAGTAACTTAGTCACTAACAAAATCAAAGGTATTTTTCAAATCAAGAAACATTGTGTATTGTGCCTACTATTTCCATGGACTGTGAGAACGGTTGTGGTTGAATTGTGTACACTTTAACAGTGTTTGAAATCATTGATATTGGGTAGTATGGCTTTTAAGTCAATACAATAATCTTTAGAGCACTTTTCTCTTATGGGTTTTACACATGTAACTGGTCAGTAAAATTGGACAAAAATATTTATTGATATGTTTTGCTTATATTAGTGCTGTACGGTATTGCGACAATACTCGTAAAATTTACTTTTATTTGGTACCCAGTATACTGTATATATTGTATGCATTAGTATTATCTATTTAATGTTCTGTTCAGTCTTTGTGATGGTTATTTACTCCTTTTGAGAGTCAGTAGAGCCTGTTATTATTTTTTAGTATATTAGTAATTAATTCAAATTTCTTCATTTCTGTTATACTGTACATTGTTACTTTGGAGTTGTATAGCCCTGATGGCAAAATTAAATTTTAATTTAAAAACTATTGTACTTTATTTTTAGAACATTATAGCTTTCTTGCTTCAATTACCAAAAAAAAAAAAAAAAAATGGTAGGGTTGTTTCTAGGCTGGACCTTAGTAGGGGCTCGGTGCTTTGGCTCTGGCACCACAGACACATCCACAAAACTACCAGACCTCTGGAGGTGTACAGAAGTCTGGTAGTTTTGGTGCACTTACTGAACACCAGGACCAGAATTTGGTGTGCTAATAAAGACTACGATAGCATGGGGGGATCCGAGTGTGTCCCAAAATCCTTGAAAAATCGGCTAGACAGTACAATAAAGTATGCAAGGTAAAGTGTAATAGGGGGATTATTTTACATATCATCCCAGACAAAGGATGTGCAAGGTTGCTATTGAGAGTAAGAGAGAGAGATAATAAAGTGAACAGGATGGGTTCAGGAAGAGAAGGGACTGTATAGATAAATGTTTCTCTGTGAGAATGGTTATTGAAATATTTCTAACAAAGGGAAAAGTTGTATCGTGCTGTTATGAATTAAATAAGGTATGTATGGCTCGATTGATCATGAAGCATTGTGGAAGGTTTTAAAGATATATGAAGTTGCATGGAATTTATTAACAGCGATAAAATTATTATATATAAATAGTAATGTGTAAGTGTAGATGGAAAATTAGGAGTGGTTTTTAATGTTGAGAGTGCTCATAAGAAGGCAATGTCTACCTGGCTTTTTTTTTTTTTTTAATAATTGGGTGTGTTTGTAAAGGTAGTAAAGTCAAGAACACTTGGAAGTGGAAGGGAATGGTGATGGGGATCTTTTTTGTTATTGACAAGTTTGTATGAAGATAATGCAGTGCTCTTAACTGAAAGTGAGGAGGAATTACAAAAGATTGTAAATGAGTTCAGTTTTGTGTGCAAGAGAAGAAAGCTTAAAGTCATTGTTAGAGAAAGTAAGGTTATGGAGTTTTGAGAATAGTTTAAGATGGAGTATATTTTGTAGATCCTATACTGGCAAAACATAGTAATTTGATCTGTGTGATAAAAATGGAGAAGAAATCACACGAAGAAATCACGAGAAGAAATGGTTAGTTTTAAATATTTGGGAGAAGTGTTAGGTGAAAAATGGCAATATGATAGGTGAAATAAGAGAAAGGATAATGATTGGAGAAAAATAGTAACAGAGGTGAATCAGATAATGAAAGGAAAGCCGAGAGATGAGACACTACTCTCAATCCTAATTACAGTATATGGAAATGAAACTTGTAGGTGGAAAGGGACTGAGTTCTCATGAGTATGAGCAGTATTATAATTTGTTAGAAAAGGTGCTGATATAAGTACTGTATGTTGTACTGGTATAGCAATGGAGAAGTATGAGTGAAAAGAGTGAAGGAGTGAAATGTTGAGTTGTGAAGTGAATGAACTGAGGTGGTATGGAAATTTTAGTAGAAAGTCTGCAAATTGTTTAACAAGAAAGGCAAAATAGAGATATCATATGGTAGAGGTAGACAACAACTATCTTGCAAGGAAAGCATGGCATAGTATATGAAAGAAAGGATATGGGAAGGGGTCAGAGAGCTTAAAGGTTTATGTGGTGATAAAACCTCCTGGAGAAACTCCTGCTGTGGTATACCCCTTAGAATGGGACACTTCCAAAATTTTATAACTTTAAGACTTTGAAGTACAGTATCTGTTGTTTACAGATTTCTGCTGAAGAGGTTGGGAGAGGGTCTTTTATGAGAAAAATGTAGACTAATGCAGGGGTAATTTAAATGTCTGTATTACAACTGTTATAGTAGCAATCGCCTATTTCTAAAATACCATTTCATTCTGTACTTTGTAAATTTCTTTTATATCGCATTATATTTTCATGTTTTGTAAAAAAATTTGTATTATCACATTCTTTTACATTTACAGAGCGGGAGTAATATGCACCATAAATTTCATACGTTTGGTCCTGGCCCTCCTGGTCCTGCTAATCCACCAGGCCTGGTGAGAATACAACCCAAGCCCTGTACTCAGACACATCCAGGCGCCAGTCATACCACCTTCACTAGAATGCCTCAGTTGACCCAGGGCAGGTCATCAGACGTGTCCTCATCTGTTTCTTCTACAACTCATCCCATTGGAGAAAATAGGTATATAATTGTTGTACGTTGTATTTCATTTTGCTATACGTGGAAAGAAATTTGTCACTTTATACTAAATCATAAGTGTATGGAGTATGTATTCTATTATGGGTTCACTGGTCATTATATTATTATTAAAAATTGTTTTGTTATTAGCCAAACTCATTAGTGATTTTGTTAATTTTTCAGTCACCTTCGAGGGCTTTTAGGATCTGGTGGGACATATAAGATTGGGGGGAATTTTAACCCCCACCCCCATATAGCGGCTCGCCTACAACAGCACCCTCATCAAGGACCTGGACGACACCATGACCAACAGGGGCCATCTAGGGGCCAAGTTGCTTTTAGACAAAGTTTAAATCCTGCTGCTGCTGCTGCAGCAATGGCTAGTATTTCACAAATGACAGCTGTATCAGCAGCAAATAGCAATCCACTAAGTATGGTGAATATGAGTGGGCAGTTAAATCCTCCTTCAGGAATCAGCATTACTCCTGTTCCTCAACAGAAACCATCTCAACCCCACCAACAGCAAGGACATTCACAAATCCAGCAACATCAGCAACAGCATCAGCAGCATCAGCAGCAGAAACAACAACAGCATCAGCATGGACTTTCCCTACAGGGCATTTTACGAAGTACTTTGTCACAACCAACATTAGGACCAAAGCCAGACTCCCGTCAGACGTCACCCCATAGTACCCAACAGCCACAACTAAAAAAGGAGAGCAGCAGTCCAACTCCATCGTGGCACATTCCTCAAACAGCTGAATCGTCAAAATCGTCTCTCAACTCTGCGACCCCAATGGTTTCCATCCCTTCCGAGAATGTGGACAACTCCTTCAAGATTGTACTTGGGCCCAGTAAAACCAATGGCGGGGTGAGTTCCACAACTTCGATCACCCTCAACACCACTACTTCCAACTGTACTTCCGGCATCCCTTACAACTTGCCCCCGCTCACAAGGATCCCAGGCTTCAGGTCAATCCTTCCCAAGCCCTCTGGAAACTCAGATGGGAAGGAGACTGTCAAGGAGGCTAGGCTCCCAAGTGAAAGTATGGGCCAGGTAAGTTGCTGCAGCTTATACACAGGTTGATGCACAGATCTTGAAATTTGCGGGAATATTTGTCATTCTATTTATCATTTATCATAGAGTAAATTATATTTTGATATTTTATAAAAAAAAACTAAGAAGATACCTAAACTTGTGGAGCTCCAGTTACAGTATTTATCTCAGCATTCTAAGTAAAATATATTACAGGCTTTGAAAATAAGTTGTCTAACAGATAACAACAGATTAAATTTTTAGCCAGGATATTTGGCCGAGTTATGAATATGGTTTTAAGTTTACATTGAAGTGTTTGTTTAATTACTATTCCATTTGCATTTAGTGTTGCATAATGTAAAATATAAATACTATTTTGGTTTCTGTGCATCAAAAGTGCATTAATCCAGTGCTTAATAGATATATTCCCTCTTGGTGCACCTATCAGTGACTATTCTACTCAAATCAGTTTATCTTGTTTTTCTTCCTCCATCTTTTGCATTTTGTTTCCTTCTTGAGCCTAAGCTTTGGGATTTTATGTAGTTCTGAAACCTTAATTTTATTTTATTGTGACTTAGCAAAACTAATGCAAGTGTGTGTTTGAACACGTGACTTTCCTTTCTGCCTGCTCTCCTGTGTGTTGTGTCATTTTGCCATTAAACCTAAATATTTCACTCCTTAGGGTCATGGTTATAATTCATTTGACTAGTTCAAATAAGTCATTGATTATTATTGCAATATTTCCTACTGTTATAGAGTTGGTGGCATTTGCCTAGAGAAGAGGGGAAATAGTAATTGGAAAAATAAAAGTTAGGTATTGGAAGTGACTTTTGTCTTTGTATGCTGTTCTAGGGGGAGCCTTGTGGCTCCCTGAAACTACTACGATGATTCAGTGCCATACTACTAGGTGCCATCAGTCACAGGGGTCTTGTCTGTCACTTGGGAACCACAGGCCAGAACCTGGCCGTCTCAGAGAAGCACAGGGAGCATTGGCACTATGGACACTTTTTATGTCAAATTATTTATGTCTGCCACCTCCAAGGAAAGGCACACAAAGTCAGCAAAACAAAACAGACTATTACTTGGTTAGAAAGGAGACTGCAGACTCAAAACTCAAAAGAACCCCACCAACAATGTAAACAAAAGATAATTCTGGAAACTAGCACTAGTTAGTTCACCCCACCTTCCCCTTGTCTGTTGAGGGCAGGAGGGAGGCAGGCTGAGTCACCCAGCCTCTCCACTACCAGTTCTTATACTGTACTAATGTATCCGGTGCCTGGTCGGCCTACTCTAGTCGCTTTGACTCCAGTCTCCCATTTTAATTCAGTGGTGTTTGCCTTTGAGGCTGTGTAGTGTGAACCAGGAAATTAGTGTGCTTGGAGCTGCGTATGCTCAGGGTTCCCTTAAATAGTGCTACCCATGGGTTCTAGTGTCAGCATTCGTTTTCCTGGTGTGTTCAGGGTGCACTCCCGTACAGGGCCTCCTTGCTTGGGGTGACCCTTGCTCTTCATGTAAGCTGGTTGTCTTATACTGTCTGTCTTTCCTTGGGTCGGGAGTATTAACACTTTCCCGCTCTCCGCGTTCAGAAAAAAATCATACCCTAGATGCTTTCGGCGGTTCACGCGCCTACGCGATAAGACCGGAAAAGTGTACACTCTTTTGACTGTCCTGACAATAATTGAAGGCGCACGTATTTAAATTTGGTATCACTGTGTTCGCAATAAAATTGTCTATAAGAACATCCCTATAAACCGCCAAAGCATAAACCGCCAAAGCATAAGGACTGTCAACACCAAATAAAAAACTATTCAGATCACTCGCCGAGAGAGCCAAACAGCAACAAAATGTTTCCACTCTCTTAATGGTTGCGAAGCCTACAGTTGTCCTACATTGCTAATTGTGGTATTATTGGAATTGCAATAAAATTCTCTACACGGACATATGCATATAAATATAGATTCAATGTCGTAGCCCACCCAAAACGGTGTGGGAAGTGGCCGAAGTGTTACCCGCGGCGGCATATCGGCGAAACTCGCTTTGAAAAGTGTATATTCAATTCACTGTCCTGACATTATTTGTCGATGTATGTATTTCATTTTTGTACCAATGTGTTCGCAATAGAATGTTCTATAAGAACCGGCAACATATATAAAAACTACGTCGATTATACTCGTCGTGTCAATAATACAATTGTTTTACCACGATGATTCATTGCCACAGCGTTCTCTTTAATAAGCTGTTCGGCTATTAGAGAAAACGTAAATTTCATGGCAAACATTTGTAAACTATTCCCAAGTTGATCGGATAATAAATGGATTTTATACAAATATTTTTTCTCGTGACTCCCGAGCGCCGCACGCCAGCGTAATAATTGGTGACGAGAATATTGGTGACGACACTGTTGTCACCAATTAGGGAAAGTGTTAATTGCTGGTGGGGGCGGGGTGCACTGTGGTTCAAATGTCCTACCTGGCTTTGGATCTCCGATTCATTTTCAACCTGTCTGGGTTGAATCGGTTCCTTCTGTGTCACTCCTTTTGGATGAGTACGGGTGACTATTTTCGGATGACCATGTTGTCCCAGGTCCAGCTCGAGAATGAGCCAGGTGCTTGGATGATATCTCTGGATCTCCAGGATGTGTATTGACATGTTCCTATCCATCCAACGTTCAGGAATTGGTTAGGTTTTGTCGTGGAGTGGCATGATTTCTGGTTTCGAGTTCTCCTGTTTGGGCTGAATCTGGAACCTCACGTTTTTACACATAACTCGGATTGTGGTTAGAAAGTGTCACCCTAGAAAGTGCAGAAACCTCCTCAATACAGGTAAATGTACCAAAAGCTGTGAATTCTTTCACCCAGAAATTTGCAAGAACTCTTTGGACAGGAAAGAGTGCTTCAATGCTGAATGCCCAGCTTTTCATATAAGAGGTACCAGGCGAATAAAACCGACAGACTACCACTATGAAAACAGCCACTACTCCATCAACCGGGATAATTTTTTAGCAAGAGGAGGAGGAGAAGAATGGCTAAAAATGACCAGACTCTACCACCAACTCGGTCAAATGCTAGAGAGGACGCAAACACAGTGGCCTCCTTACCAGAGCCTCAGATATTAACACCAATTAAAGCATCCAGCACTTCCACTAACACGATAACATCATTTATATTTGCCAACATCCAGGGTATAAAAACACGCAAATCCAACAAAGTTCATTTTATAGATGGTCTCCTTCATGAGGCAAATGCAGTGTTTGCAGCCCTAACGGAAACTCACACAAAGGACTACCTTGATGGTGAAATATGGATCTCAGAATACAATCTCTTCAGATGTGATAGGAAACACCGGCTTCAGGGTGGGGTCAGCCTCTACATCAAAGACACACTCATCTGTACTGAGCTGCTAAACACCTCAAATGATATGGTGGAAGTGCTGATAGTCAAAATAGAGATCCTAAATGTAGTTGTTGTCCTTGTATATAAGTCATCGGAGGCAAACCCTCAGCAGTTTAAAGACCAACTAATGAAAATAGAGCACTGCTTGGAAAACCTCACAAATCCAGCTCCGAACATCATCCTGCTTGGGGACTTCAACCTACGGCACCTGAAATGGAAGCACCTGGCTAATACAGTAATATCAGAAAGAATACCAGGAAGTAGCCTAAATGAGCAGGCACATGCAAATGACCTGCTACGGATGTGCGATAGGTTTGCCTTAAACCAGCAAATAGTAGAACCAACTAGGAAGGAGAACACGCTGGACCTCATTTTCACTAATAATGATGAGTTGATCGGGAACATAATGATTACAAATACCTGTTACTCAGATCACAACTTAATTGAAGTTCTGACAACCATGGGGAATGGACCTTCAAAACCAGTCCAGATTCCCGGTGGAGGAGATTTCAGCAAATTCAACTTCAATAATAAACGGATAAACTGGGAGCAAATAAACCAGGACTTCACAGAAATAAACTGGGAAGAACAGCTAGGAAATGCAAACCTGAACCAGTGCCTGGAAAAAATAAGCTCAGTAGCACTAGAGATATGTTCAAACCGCATACCCCTAAGAAAAAAGAGAAAGAGATGCAGATTGGAACGGGAACGTCGTTCCCTATATAGGCGAAGAAAACGAATCGCGGAACAACTTGAGAGTCGCACCCTATCTCAAGAACGGCGAAGAAGGTTAGGTAGAGAAATAGAAACAACTGAACTCAAGCTACAAGAATCATACAAAACCCAGGAGAGGCAAAGAGAGCAAAAGGCCATCAGTGAAATAGAGAGAAATCCGAAATATTTTTTCTCCTATGCAAAATCAAGATCAAAAACCACATCTAGTATCGGGCCCCTGCGAAAGGGAGATGGAACTTTCACAGATGACAACAAAGAAATGAGCGAGTTACTGAGGAAGCAGTACGACTCTGTTTTCAGTGAGCCATTAAATGCACTAAAGATTGATAACCCAAATGAATTTTTCATGGATATGATACCAACATCAAATCATATATCAGACGTCGCCCTATCCCCACTAGATTTTGAAGAAGCCATAAACAGTATGCCTATGCACTCTGCACCAGGCCCGGATTCTTGGAACTCCATATTCATCAAGAACTGTAAAAAACCACTATCGCAGGCCCTTCACATTCTGTGGAGACAAAGCCTAGATACTGGCGTTATCCCTGACATACTAAAAACAGCAGAGATAGCACCACTCCATAAAGGAGGAAATAAGGCAGAGGCAAAAAATTACAGACCGATAGCACTAACATCGCACATCATAAAAATTTTTGAGAGAGTGCTAAGAAGTAAGATCACAAAATACATGGAATCACAGCATCTCCATAACCCCGGACAACATGGTTTCAGAACAGGGCGCTCTTGCCTGTCGCAGTTGCTGGACCACTATGATATGGCATTAGATGCTATGGAAGACAAACAAAACGCTGATGTAATTTACACAGATTTCGCAAAAGCTTTTGATAAATGTGACCATGGTGTTATTGCACATAAAATGCGTTCAAAAGG